ATACTTCTATCTACTATATCTTAAATAACTTCAGCTTTTCCTCAAAATTTCCTAGATTTTTTCCTCTTTGCCAGTAAGTATCTATTTTTAGTTATACATACTTGGTTTCTAGTTTTGCTATATGACATATTCAATTACCTTATAATGTATTTGTTTATTTATCTCATTTTTTATGTTTGTATTATGTGAAATAATCTGCAATACAGAGTATACACCAGTTTTCACTTTTGTTAACAAAAAATTTTCATATCTAATTTTATATAGAAGTTTTTTTTCTAGAACTTCTATTCTTTTCCTATTTTCTTTTCTTTTATCTTTGTTATATATATTTTTTGAGTTTCTCTTCTTTTTCTTAAAGATTCTAGTACTGTTTTTTAGTGATATTTTTGTGTTTTTTAAATTTTTTCTTCTGCTTCAAAAATAGTTAAAATAATCAACAGAGAAAGTTTTAAAATAGCTTATATTATTATGTTTTCTAACTATATATCAACTATACTTTTTAACTATAGTATTTTCTTCTTTATTTGTTTTTTTTATTTGCTAATACTTTATACAAATATATTTACATTCTTTTTTAATAACTCTTCTTTTTTTTTATTTTCAATAAGCTGTCTGCAGATTTTTATTAAGTATTATTTTCAAATTACATTTTGTTAGTGAGAGTATAATTAGTTATACATTGTCAAACAGGGAATTCACCTCTTCTAGAGTTCCTAGAGATTGCTAATTATAGTATAAAGACTATAACTTTATAGCTTGTTATATAGTGTCTAGAATTAAGACTTAACAAAGAAGTTTTTGTAGTGATTTATATTAGGACTAAAAGGCAAATAATAAATAGTAAATAAAGATACTAAGTATTATATCTTTATTGAGAATTGTATGAAGACTAGACTACTAAGCAGGAAGAGCAGAAAGACAGTGCTTTTATAGATAATTTATATATATAAATTATTATAATAAAGATAAGTTAATTAAAAATAACTATACTAAATAATAATAAATAAAATAATAGATATAATAGAAAGGGGTTAGATCCTATAGCTTAGTTGGTTAAGTTCTCAACCCTTCACAGACAAAGTCAACTGTTCGAATCTAGTTGGAGGCATTTGCTTCTGTAATTCTTATGAAAACTATTAATCGAATGCGAAGCCCTGTAGTAAAATTCAAATGAAGTACAAGATTCTAGAAAAGAAATTCCTAGAAGGAAATTGATATTATAGAGCAAGTTGGCATTATATGCAATAGTTGTTGTACAAAAAGTTCTGTTATACAAGTATTGTGCGAATAAGTCCTCGAAGAGTTAGACAGTACTAACATCTCCAGTGATTAGAAACTTGTTTAGAAGAGTAACATAAAAGTAACATGAGCTAAAGTAATAAGTAAAGTAGTGAATATAATAGAAATCTGTGGAAAAGGATTATTCTAACTATATGTGAAATACCTCTAGTACATATGAAAGCTAAAATTAGCAGGTTCCAGTTCTATAGAGAGTTGGCTACTATCTAGAATATGCGTAAAAACCCAAATTAGCAGAAAGTACTGAGCTAGTAGTGCAATCATATATCTGAGTACAAGGCATACTAATATTAAAACACTAGCTAATGCAGATGCAAGTTGGAAGTAGTACTATGTATTACAAACCTAGTTAAAAGCAACCTTAGTTGTGAAATATAGCCTGTACTCTACTAACACACAGAAGTATCTAGTATTAATAGTTATATAGCATATAAATACAGTTATATAGAATAAAACACTAGCATCTTCATGATCTGCAGAAGATGTAACAAGTTGCAGTAGGGTTGTTAATAGGTTGGGTTGAGTTGAGTTGGGTTAAAATTTGATGGAGTAAGGCTATCTCTAACTCAACCCAAATTGTGTTTCAAGTAATTGCTCCAGATTATACTTGGGTTATACTCTGAGTTATGCTCTAGATTATGCTCAGAGTTATGCTTTAAATTATACTCTGAGTTGTACTATGGGTTGTGCTCCAAGTTATACTCCAGGTTATACTTCAGATTATGCTCTGAGTTATACTCCAAGTTATACTTCAGGTTGTGCTCTAGGTTGTGCTCCAGAATATGTTTCAAGTTTTATAGGCAGTATTATAATATTTTTTGTAATAAATTTTTTGTTTTTGCATCTTTCTTGCATAGTATATTTATTAGTAACTATAATTATATAATGATTTTTTTACTAATTAAAGTTTAATAGAACTATATAAAGGGTCATGAATCGATAGTTCTCTTTTTAATTAGCTAGTACCTTTAATAAATCTCTTTTGAATATTTAGTAATATATTTCAATAGTTCTTTTTAGTATCCTTCGATATATTGCATTATACTCTCTGTTACTCATTACATTTGTAAATAAAATTCTACAATTTAATGCTTACGATCTGATCTATTTTTGAATATGCATTGATTCAAGCTCACCCTGACTTAATAGCAGAAATTTATTTAATTGACTAGTATAAATTAATTACTTGCATAATTTATTTTAGAAACACCTCATTTTACTAATCAACAATTACTACAAAAGTATTAACCTTTTACTGTAGGTATGTATATTGTAACAGTGAAAAATGGTACTAGCCTGAAATGTGTTGAAATTAGGTCACACTAACTATAAACAACTAACACTACTAAATTTTACTCTAATTCTGACCCTAATAGTGGAAGACTATGATCAAGGTGTGAAAAGACTTAGTCTGAATAACTAGAATCAATTACACTATATCGCAAGATCCTAATACAGAATCGCAGACTAATTCCTATTGTAAAGACAGAGTTTATTTATCAGAGAGAGATTAGTGAAATAGAACACTTTTTTAATGTCAGACTCCAACTGAGTTCTCTTTATTAACAGTAGAGGTTAAATACATTTTCACAATACTAATTTATTATAAATCTTTCTAGTGTATTTACTCTATTTACTCTATATGTCTTATAAGCTATATCTGCTATATCTGCTATTTCTAGCAGATTTAGCAGATTTTTGCGCAGTATTAACCTGAACTACTTCAGCAGTGATCTAAACTCTTACAAAATACAAAAGAACTGAAAAGATCAACTCCCAAAGAACTCTGCTTAGAAAATAGAATGTATTGGATCATGTCAAATTACATTATAAAACAAGGTAATTGAATTTATTTTTGTTTAATACTACCTTATTATATTAGATTTTATTACTATATGAGTGCAAGGATAGTAATTACTTCTATTCTATTTTATTTCGATATTATTTGACTAATCAAAACTTTCATTAGTGACTAAATGCAAGTTTTAATTAGTCAATTGATATTAAAATAAAATGGAATAGAAATATTCACTGTCTCTGTATGAGTGCTGCCAAGGAAAAAGGGTACCTTAGCAATTTAAGTACATTACTGATTAATTATTGAGTTCAGCAATAATGCATATTGGGCTTCAAAAAATTGATCACAATTTATATTAAATTTTTACATTTTACATCAAGCCTGATCTGCATAATTGCTGAACTCAATAATTAATCAGTAATATGCTTAAATTGCCAAAGTACCCTTTTCTCTTAGTAGTACTTATATATATAACTACATATTTAGTTTGAATAGGAACAAGCTTATAGTAATAGAAAGTCTAGGTTTAATACTTGAATATATTAGTTTTTGTAGCATGTTCAGGTAATAAAAGGTTTGGTTTATAGATTTTTGCATATATGAGATTAATTAATCCTTTTGTATTATGTATTTATCATTAATCTAAATAAAAAATTAATTTTTTATCTCTTACACTATTTTGTAGGAAATTTTGCTCTTTTTCTAGCAGATATCATATAAATCATAATGGTATCTAGTATTATAAAAAGACTCAACTGCTAATTCAAAAGCTTACTACAAATATAATTTTTGGTAGTATGTAGTTTTTTTTTAAAAAAATTATTAAATATCTTATCTGGACAAATTTGTTCATGAACACCTTATGATATAGTATAAAGGATAAATATTTATTTATTTATAAATTGTTCAATATAATAATATTTAAAGTACTTTTCAAATTACCATAATTGTTAGTTCATTGTTTATCGCTAATAATGATCTTTAAATCATATAAATATTTAAAAAATAATCTAATGATTTTTCATCATATTTAATATATACTAGATCTTGTAGTGCAATAAAGATTTTTATCTAAATTTTATAAACTCTGATGAAGTTATCTTATTATTTTCATATTATAAGCTACTTAAATTCTATATACTAGTAGTATTTGAAGATAGCTTAAATATTGAAATTTATCAGACTATAGTTAAGAAATCTTCAAAGGTTGAACCTTCTTACAAAAATCAGTTAGTATTTTAATAGATTCCTAGTTTTTATATGGTATGAAATTTGATATTGTCTGCTACAAAGTCACAACTTAATTTTTACAGCCTATTTATGTTGTAATTATTACAAGATAAGTTATATATATTATATTATTGATGTCACATTCTATTGCGACAATAAGTTGTAACTCTAGTTACACTATAAAAAATTTGCATCTTATATTTGCAGCAGGCAATACTATTATCATAGTAATTCAAAAAGCACTATAATGAAAGTTACTAATAACAAACATATTAGATATTAACTAAAATCAAGTTACTAGCCTAGCTTTCTTCTAAAAAATTTATATCAGCTAATATCTAATACTTTCTTAATAATAAATATATACGTGGTTAAAATGTTATATTTCTAAAAGATAAAGATTTTCTATATCAAGTTCTTTTTCATTATTATCACGCAATTGCTAAATTCAGCTTTTAAGATACATAACTGCACGTGCAGTATCTGATTTTAATTTACAATAAATTTTAGTTATAGTATTTACTGCTATAGAAAAAGCCTGTTCTGAAGGCACGCTTGAACTCTGAATTCTTAGATAGCATAATGCCATATTTGCAAGAATTAGAAAATCTTTACCAAAATGATGCCACCAATCTAACAGATTTGTATTAGGATCAACTGGAATTGCAAAATATTAAGTAATTTCATCTTCAACAGTTATTTGTTCAGAATTTTGTTCAGAAATTAAAGATTCAAAAAATAACCATTTGTTTTCTCTTGACCATAAATTTATATTAGTTAATTGAGTATCATTTTTATATAATTCTATTCTATTATGCAATTGCTATAGCTTTATCACGCTTGTTAATATCTTTAAAAGTCTTAGTCTTAGATCACAGATCTAACAAAGCACCAATTGCTGTTGGTTCGTCAATATATTCCTAATATTCTTGAAGTTTAAAATTAATTGAATTTGCCACCATACATTCATCCAAATTAGTATCAGAGTAAGTTTCAAGAAAAGATTCTAAATGTCACAATAAACCAATTATAGTTAATCTTACATTACTTATAGTAGGATACATTGAAATTGATAATATTTTAGTTGCTATAAAAAATAGTTCAAGTAATTGAATTAAACTATTTACTACTAGCCAATCATTATCTTGCAAATAAAAATCAGAAAGATCCTGATTTTTAATAATAAAAAGATCTAAAATATCTCTCATTTGGCAAAATTTTTTTTAACATAAGATATGTACTATTCCACTGTGTCTCTATATCTAAATTAGATTTTAATTCAGGCTTATTTTCAAGTTTATAAATTGTTTTTAAAGACTCATTTAATCTTGTTGAATGCTGAATTTTTGTTACAAAATCTCGAACATTTTTTATAATTAGTGATACTAACTGCAAACCATGTTGTATAGCAAGATTAAGTATGTATACTGCATACTGCTAATAAACTAATCCATAATTATTTAAAGTTACTTTAAGTTCTCGCTCTGCAGCTAACATCGAAAATGCATTATTAGTTATAATTCTGAACAACTTTTCAGTAATTTTAGTCTGATCTAATACTTGTATAAGAGCTTGTTTAATGTTTATAGCAGTATATTATTCAGAAAGATAATAAAGATCAAGTAAAAAATGTTTCAATTGCTATTTATAATTAATATAATGAACTATAATACCAAGATATGATTGCTTTGTAATTAAACTTCAAATATCACAAGTAATTGAAACTTTATTAGCTTTTTCAAGTTCTTGTAATATTATGTTATACATATAATTATATTTATTCAAAACCTCAGTTCGTATAGTTTGTCGACAAGGTACTTGATATTATCCATCTAGCTTATTTAGCATTGTAATAAAATATTGATTATTAACAATAGAAAAAGGAAACTGACAGCAAACTATAAAATCTAAAATTGTATCTGTAAGTTGCTGGTATCATTGATTTGTTTTTAAATATGGCTTACCCATAAATTTTTCAAGAGTGCTTTGTCGATTACTAACATAGTTACTATGTTTATTATATAAATGTCTAGTAAGCATTCTCAGCATATTAGTTGACTTATATTTAAGTTTGCATATACTACATAAAAATGAAATAACCTCATTGTTATTATTATATACCTTTGAAAAATATTCTCAAACTCATGAGAGTTCTCATAAAGGAGATAAAACTGAGCTAAGATTACTTTTTTCGCTAGTATTTGTTAGTTCAACTATTGGCTCAGTTGACATACTTTCTGTTAAATTAATAGTATTATCAGTAGTTTCAAAACTACATTCAGTTAATTCATTCTCATATTGAATATTTAATTCAAGTGTAGTTATTTTTTACTTTTTTGACATTTTTTTATTAAAGTTATTTTTCTTTTTTTTTTAAAATATGATTTATATTAATTTTTTATTCATATTGTTACAAGTAGATAGCCTTCTTAGTATATCACAAGTAACATAAGACACAGAAGAGGGACTCTTAACAGTGTCAAAGCAGGATATTACTTTGCAAGGGTAATTCATTAGAAAGATTATATTAAAGCAAAGAGTATTCTTTATT